AACAATTGGCGTTATCATACAAATTATCTACATATTTTACCTGGCAAAAGTTTATTGGTCTCAGTTTGGAGTGAAAAATTGGGCTTGTCGAATTAATGGTAATTTTCCAAAGATACTCCTTTTTGTATAAATTTAACCTTGTTTTGACGATGATTTTGGGGCCTCCATGGACTGGGGGATAGTTGGAAGCTGCACCCTTTGAAACTTGAACACTCCTCATGATACGGCCAAGTTACATGCGTTTTTTGTCAACTTATAGTAAGATGGAAATATAACAAATTCACCGTTCGATTGAAATTACAACTAGGTTGCCCACGGATACTGCAGCCGCTGACCATGTAATTGTTCCTCCAGTGATAAACTTGCAGAGCCACAAGCCTGTTGTCCCAGACGGGTGTTCGAATGTTGGCTCAATAACGAACTGTATTGCGACAAACACTGCTACTACCATATCAGCAACTGCCAAGTTAAGCAAAAGCATGTTCATAGGAGGTCTCATGGTCTTGGTTAAACGAATCACTAGAATCACCAGGGTATTGCCAACAAGGCCCATTAAAACAATGATCAAGAATGCTACGTTGAGACAAATGTATTCCACGGATTTCATTTTATATTCTGAAAAAGGGAAAAGAATACATTTTGATGGTTGCCATAGTTTTGCAGTGTCAGAAATATCCCTTGAAATGGGGGGCTTTGCTGCTTTCTGCTGGTCTAAATGTGTAAGGATCCTTTATTGTTAGTGAGAAACCTCTTATTATATAAAAAAAGGGAAGGTGATATTCTTAGAATAAACATGCAATAACTTTCTCTTGATCCCATAATTTATACATTTTTTATTTGGTTTTTAGAACAGCTAATTTATATTTATTGTTTTATTTTCAAGATAAGAACCTATTTTAATTTCAAAGCTCAGTTCTTACGTTTTTGCCCACGCGTTCTTAAGGTGACTCGACCCAGTTTTTTGGGGGGAGTACCATCCAACATTTGATTTCGAGCAAATTAAACATATAGAAATTATAGTTTTCGCTATTTCTTGACGTTTGTCGGCGTTTAAGAGTCCTTCTCACGAAAAAAGCATTTTCTTAAAAAATCCGTAGTTTTTTTTCCTTCAAATTTGTTCAGGGCCACAATTGATTAACTAACTACACGGACGCTGAATTTCATGGTCGTTGAAAAACTGTGACATTATCTTCTATAAGCCCAAACTTGAGTAAACATTGAAGATTTTTAGCGCTTTGGCTGAGTTTGTGCTTTGGGAGTTGCATTGTCTATTGTTTCTAGTCTGTCATTATACAAAATTCTTGTTCAGCACGCGTGCAATGATAACGCTTGGCTGACTTCCGAATGCTCATCGAGATATGATAATTTAGTATAAGAAAATAGACGGGATTCCCGTCACGAGTTGGTTTAATTATTGGCTTGCATTAAACCTATGAAAAAATGATATTTTTTTAATAGTAAGTAGATTTAGTGTGTAGCACTTCTTGATTTTTTTGCAAAGGCACAAGAAGAACGAGAATTGATTAAAAATTGTGAGTTAAACCTTTATGTATCACGCGATGGCCTGTCTCACTGTACCAAAATTATCATATCTCGATGAGCATTCGGAAGTCAGCCAAGCGCGGTCATTGCACGCGTGCAGAACAAGAATGCTGTATCATGACAGACTAGAAACAATAGACAACTCCCAAAGCACAAACTCAGCCAAAACGCTAAAAATCTTCAATGTTCACTCAAGTTTGGGCTTATAGAAGATAATGCCACACTTTTTCAATGACCATGAAATTCAGAATCCGGGTAGTTAGTTAATTAATTGTGGCCCTGAAAAAATTTGAAGGGAAAAAAACCACGAATTTTTAAGAAAATGCCTTTTTCGTGAGAAGGACTGTTAAACACTGACAAACGTCAACAAATAGCTAAAACTATAATTTCTATATGTTTGCTTTGCTCGAAATCGCGCGCATTTACAAGGCCCTAAAGCTTTTTGCTGACTTGCAAGGACCCATCTGTTATAACGATCCCCCAAATAAAGGGATAACTCTCATAGTTTATTAGATATAATCGTGTAAAGTTTGCTTATCATTTTCGCATAAATTATGACCTAAATTTGGAAACCCCTGAATTTCTCGAATTGCGTCTTTGCGATTTTGGTGAAACTCTGTTCAGCGCAAGGTACTACTGCGCACTATGTGTAGCCGAGAGATTTTCACGAAAAAATGCCGGAAACAGCAGATTTTCGACTCAGACCTCAGAGGGGCGTGGCATTATAACCACGTGACATTTACTCCGATCACCAAAAATGTTATGTTATATTGTAGATTGATCTATATGTTATCCATTCTATGTGTTAGACTAACGATAAAAGTAAAGGTGGGGATACCAGACAGCTTCAAAGTAGGATGGTACCCCCCCCCCCAAAAAAAAAAACTGGGTCGAGTCACCTTAATCAGGAGGCTATCAAAGGGGGGATTTCAATTTATTGCCAAGATTAAATAAGTTCAAAAATAGCAAGAATACAAACCCCTCTTTAAGTCAAAGCTCGTTTTGTGACACAGCTACCAGCACGAAAGGTTATAATTGTGTTTACAAAAATACATTTGGGAACATTTGTCTAAAGGTGATTTACAAGACTAATTAATAAAATAACCAGAAAACAAACTAACTAGAGACAAAAATGAAGATACTCTGGGAAAAATGCTTTCAAACAATTGACAAAATCAGTTCTATAGGAGTAAAAAAAAAAAATAATAACGGCAACAAACTAATAGACTAATAAGGATAATATTGACAGGGGAAAACAAAACGGCACTGAAGTGCCATTTGGGTGGTGTGCTGTTTATTCGTGGTTGCAGTAGCTGTTGTTGTTATAGTAGACTCCATATGCGATTTCACGTTTTTGTTATTGAATTTGAGATATATATTGAGCAACTTGCCTCCCCAATAGCTTTGTATGCCTTGTTAAAAGTTGATTTTAGTTTTCAAAATCATACAGTTGGCCCTAAAGTGGTAGGTAATGGAGTTTCGTAAATTAGATTGAAAAAATAAATGTATTTCAGACGTGCTTATTATGTGATAATATGCTAGCGTTAACGATCGGAATCAAGCTAGTTTAGAGCTCGCTATCTGCCTTAGTTTCTGATCCTTTTTTATGTTTATCAGTGAGTTGTAGAAATAGATACCTGGGACGATTGCCGTTGGAATATGGGTACAACTACATGCATGCAGTTTCAATTTTTTGGTTAACCTGTTTCCTGGATCAAATTGCCATCATTGCCACTGACAGTAATCCGTTACCGAGGTTCAGCAAACCGAGATATGTACCGGGAAAGAGGTAGATATTAGGGCAGTTTATACGAGGAAACTGTAAGACGCGTCTTAAATAAGACGCGAATTGTACCATTTGTACGAGCATGTCTTATATAAGACAAGAACAGCTCCTATAAATGGTTCCCGTCTTATTTCTGTTCTTGACTCGTTTTCGAGTGAATGTTGCCCGTAGCAACGGCAATCCAACGTGGCGCGCCAAAAATTAACGCATGCGTACTATGCGTTCGCTTCTTAGTATGACGCGAAGGCCATTTATACGAAGTTTTTCTCGTCTTAGCTAAGACGCGTCTTATCTAAGAACAGGTGTTAAGGGCTGTTCTAAAATAAGACGCGTCTTATTTTAGACGAAATGTGCCGTTTATACGGAAAGTTCGCGTCTTATTTAAGACGCGTCCTATGTAAGACGCGTCTTATTTTTCCTCGTATAAATGGCCCTATTGTGTTATTTATCATTCAGTAGTTTTGAGATTACAAGCAAGCGAAATTTTTGGCAGTTAATTCCCTTACCTTTCATATAACAAATTCTGTCATCATCCTCTGATACAAGTATTACCTGACGATACGTACGCTTGTTGCAGTTATGAAAAATTATCCGTTATAGTTACCTATAAACGTCCCTCTCTTGAGAGTAGGAGTAAAGTCAGACTCACCGTGACGAAAAACATTTTTATCAACGGTAAATAAAGGAACTATACTGTGTAGCTTTACGTGGGAGTTTTTACCTATGAAAAATAAATATTTATGAAAAATATAAATAGAAACTGTTCTCTAAGTCACGTTTTACTGTCACCTTTTGTTTCTATAATTCATTTTATTTCTTTATTAATACAGCTATTTTTCTTGCTTATTAACGCTTCAATGTAGATACAGAAGATAGAAGGAAATAGCTTTCACTGAGCATGCGAGGTATGGTCTGCACTGAAATCATTATGAAATATAATAAAAAGGAACATTGATAAGCCTGTCGTTCCGCTTTCCTTTCCTGACAAGTTTGATGCAACTCAAGCCCTTAAATCATGAGCTTCCCTTGATGTATTTGACGATAAAAGTAAGAAGTCGAATGGAACAAATCTCATGTTTGCCAAGAAATTAAACAAATAGTCAGCTGTCCAAACGAAAGATGCATCATATGACATTTCAAACACAGATACAGTGTCTGCTCTTGGTAAGTCATAAATAAAAAATTGCCTTAGTTTCCTTTTATGTCTTCTATTGCTATGATGCAATCGGAGTTTTATTTGTCGCAGGAAACTAATTTCTTTTTGGAAGTTAGATGTAAAAGGCGCGGTGTAAATTTGTAAGTAGGATAAATCTCGCGATTATGACAAACGCAAGTCATTTTTATATTTCGAATGAGCAAGTTCGGGTTAAAAAGGAAGTAAACGTGACCCATAACTAAACTAAAGGGATGGTAGAAAGCGTGTTCTTTTTCTATTGTAGCCACTAAACAGTTATATTTTCAGCCGTTTAAAAAAAAAACGAAACTTCAGCAAATCGACGGCGATATGGCTACACCGCTATTGATTCAATTAGGATCTTACTGTTATCATCCCAACCTTTGATGAGTGAAGTAAACTGAGATCAAAGCTCCAGTCCACGTCGTTAGGAGGCTTACACACCCTAATATTTTTAAAGGGACAGTAATAAGTAGTTTTTTTCACCTTTCTTTCGTTTTCCTGATTTTCAGCTGATGTTGTGGTGGCCTTACTGGTGGACAAAAACAGAAGCTTCTCTCTCCGCTGGGAACTTAATTCTTTTTTCATGCAAATTCTGCAAAAAACTATTATTTTTTTGTTCACCAGTGATATGAAATCATGGTAACTTGGTCACATGGTTGAAAACCAACAATAGATAAGAGAAATAAAGAAAAACTGCACCCAAATTATCACATAATTTGAATGTCTCATTTCGTCACCACGACTGAAGACATAACTGGAGGTTTTATTTTGTCTCAGTTCTTAGATCCCTATGACAACTCCAAGTGAAAAACATACTCGACCACTGCATCTGGAGAACATATTTGCAAAGCTCATAGTATTCAGCTGACATATTTTCCACTTACAAGTACGAATTTACTCATTGGTTAGGAACTTCCTACACGGCCAACTAATCCATTTACCTGAATAGTCAGGGGAAGGGGTGGGGGGTTTATGACTCCTGCCTCAAGGGAAATACGTGGTTGAATGACCCAAACAACAAAATGCTAATTGCAATGAACATTTCAATAATAAATATGAAATTTCATCATAATTTGAAATTAAAGGAGAACGTGAAATCTGCTGTCAGTAACATAAGCCAAGGCTCATCCTCGGTGTAAACTTTACCTTCCTTCGTAATACCTTCTGCTCGACCTCTTTTAGTATTTAAGTTCTGGTCGTTTTATCAGCTTTTATCAACAAATCTATCCAATCATAGAACATTTCGTATTATTGCTCATTCAAAATATTTCACCGCTTCTGATGGGCCTCAATCCCCCAGCTAATTCTTCACATCGAGCTGGTCCTTACCATAATTTGGAAAATGCGAGCAATTTACCGTCGATTCGATGGCATACTTGCTTTGAAACGAGGTTGATCGATAGTATATTTGCTTGGAAACCAGGCTGCTTGGGCAATAGTGAAACAATGACGACGAAGACGACCTAGCTGATTTTCTGAATAATACTGAACGGAAGAAATGAAGAATACGCAAAAGATATATATTTTTTTCGTTCAAAATATTTGGCCGTCTGATTGGCACCAATACCAAGGGAAATTCTCTATAACCAACTGGCGCCTACTCTATTTCGAAGATGCCAGCAATATACCATCGATTCGATGATTGGAAATGAGGTTGACTGATTCAGTTTATTTGCCCGGAAAGGTGACTGCTTGAGCAGTGAACTAAAAAAGATGGCCTTTTTGCTATCCGAAGACGAAATGCTGAATTTCTGATTAGAAATGAACGGACGAAATGCTAAAATACGCGAAACATATTGCTCGATGGATTTTCTTCGAGAGAAAGCAAAAAAACATTTATTTACATCCTGAACCCGTGCAGAGAGATATAGGCCTAAGTTTTGAAGAACGTCCGGAAGAATTAAGCTTGTAAGAACTTAGAAATGTTTTGAATGAATAATAAAGCAATAATTGAAATCAGGTTTCGTATGATGTGAAGAATTATGCTGATCTCGGAAACTTTTATTTGACTTGGCCTTCAGCCTCGGTGGATAACATTCTCCTCGATCTGCATAATTCTTCACATCATACACAGCCTCATTCAATAACCATTAAATACAAAACCCTACGATTAAATTATGTTTGCTCGATTATTTTCTTCCTCGCTCCTCCAGCGTCTAATAAATAATTGAAGTTTTTCTTTACGACTCCAAAAAGCAGCCCAATTATAGTGGTTTGCATTCCCACTGATTATTATTCGTCGGATTTTTCTTTGTTCTTATTGCCTTGCAATTTCAACAAAGTTCTCAGCTTCATTATTTCAAATATATCTTTACTGCGGGTTTTACTTTTGAGGCAATCCCATGCTTTGTTTAGGGTTTTTAGCATATTTAATACTTGTTATAACTATTTGTAGATTCCGTGTTTTTCTTGCACGTGCTTCTTGAAAGCCTCCATTGTGGCAGACATGTGACGCACTATTGGAAAATCACAGGCCTTTAATTCCTTCTCAAAACACTTGATGAAGTCATGTTCGATACGAAGGGCAGTGGAGTGGTACACCCAGAGATTCACAGCTTCTGCATAGCACTTGCGACTTATTTCACCAGCGCATGGCACATAGGGGTCCCCCTCTGAAAAGCATTATAGAAATATTTTCGCCTTGTCATATCAGAACAAAATTAAGCGGACACTACAGCATTCCCCGAGGGAGCCCGCTTAATACAGGTTTCACTGTACTTGAATTTAAGAGGACGAATTAGGGTGCAGAGAGGCTCCACCAGTCATTTCTGATGTATAAATGTAGCCAAGCCCAAAACTGGAGGTTCGGGGTAAAACTGTCTGTTTACTTGATTCTTTTTCAGTTTACAAACCTGTTTAGAGCTGAATTAGGTAAACTTGCCAATTTATATGGCTAAAGGCTAGTTTGAACCAATTGGTAACTTTCTTTGAACGTTCTTTTCACTTAAGCTTACGTTCACAGGGATAAAACTTTTTTAAGGATAAAAAAACCTTGAAATTTTGCTTTAACCAATAAACATTTCGGTTTAATTCAAATTCCATGTGATGAACAGGCGTTAACATAGCTTAAGAACCCAGAAAGTCCTAATTGTATGCTAACTTTGGACTCGCTGTTTTGCTTCTTTCCTCAAATTTTAGAGCAAAGATACGTATGATATGCAGATAAACTACTTTCGCTTACATTTACTTTGTTCTTAAGAACTCTATCTGAACGTTTCCACTTTTTCGCTTTTCTTTTCCTTTTTTTACAATTACGACTAACTCAATTTTTAGCAAATACCCTCCACATAATTATGATTACTATTCATTCAAAATATTTCTCCGTCTCTGATTGGATAAAAGCACATACATGATTCAGCATAACCAGCTACTGTTAACCAAATTTGGTAGAATTTTGCGATTAATCAACCGATGACGTCAAAAGTGCAGCACAATTGCAGGTTAATGCACCGTTGACGGAGAAAACCTGGGGACGAAGTTGAGTTGTTTTGGTTGTGAAAAGAAAAATGGCCGAACAGTTGGCGGAACATTTTACTCGTTTCACGACAAACTATTGCCAAAAAAACATAGCAAGAAGACAATTCGACGGACAACATCTGCTATTTGGAGTATGTTTGCAGACCTGAACAGCCATTTATCTTCTAAACATGCACTATCGAGGTGAACTTAACATCGACGAAGGTAAGCATGTTTTAGCTTGTTTTTAAACTAGGAATTATTTGCTAGGAATTATTTTGAACGAATAATAAAGGAATTAGTGCTTTCGGCTTTCGTAGGATATATAACAATTATTCACTGAAGTGGAGGTGGCTTAAGTGGTGGATATATTTACCGAGGCCGCGTTAGCGGCGAGGTAAATACCCACCACTACGCACCGACACTGAGGTGAATAATTGTTTTAGTACATACTAAAACAGTGAGATAATTGAGCACAAAAATGATGATCTTTAACTCATTTACTGTTGCCTGCAACGATTACAATTTTGGCGTGCAATTTCCGTAACGGCCGCTGTCGTCGCTTTTTCTTGCCGACAAATAAAACTTTTGAAGGCATTTGTTTAGCTATTGTGGGCAAATTTCCTCAAAAGGAGTTGTGAATTCTTTTTGTATTTAAAATCATTCTGTAAAAAAAAAATATTAAATTTAGTTTTAAGCTTATTTATGAACAAGTCAACTAAATAAAGTAAAGCAAGACTTAAGCTTAATTTGCATTTGTAAACAAAAACTTTTTCGCCTGTTTTATCGATAAATTCAAGTCAAAAAGACAAAGCTTTACCTGTTAAAACTTCAACCCCGAACTTTGTCACCTTCTTCGTGTATTTTGGGACCAGCTTGCTTTAAATTAGTTGTGAAATTTCTTTGTTTGTTACGGCAGCAAACCGGGAAGGTATTTTGCTCGAAACTTACGCGAGTTTGGTGTCGCTCGCTCGGAGGAACTGGAGGTGAATCACTGAATAGATAACAATTATTCACCGAAGTGGAGGTGGCTAGTCGTGGTATTTACCGAAGTGCGAAGCAGTTCCGTAAATATCCACGACTAGCCACCGACACTGAGGTGAATAATTGTTTTAGTATATACTAAAACAGTGAGATAATTGAGCACAAAAATGATGATTTTTAACTCAAATACTGTTGCCAACGATTACAATTTTGCGCGTAATGACCGGGCGACCGCGGCCGTCGCTTTTTCTTGCCGACAATTAAAACTTTTAAAGGTATTTGTTTAGCTCTTGCGGGGAAATTTCTTCAAAGGGAGTTGTGAATTCTTTTTGTATTTAAAATCATTCTTCAAAAAAAGATTATTAAATTTAGTTTTAAGCTTATTTATGAACAACTCAACTAAATAAAGTAACGCAAGACTTAAACTTAATTTGCATTTGTAAACAAAAAACTTTTTCACTGGTTTTATCGATAAATTCGTGTCAAAAAGACAAAGCTTTACCTGTTAAAACCTCCAATCCGAACTTCGTCACCTTCTTCGTGTATTTCGGAAACAGCTTGCTTGATTAGTTGTGAAATTTGTTTGTTTGTTTACGGCAGCAAACCGGGAAAGCATTTTGCTCGCAACTTACCCGAATTTGGCGTCGCTCGCTCGGAGGAACTGGAGGTGAATCAGTGAATAGTGCAGGATATTCACTGATTGAGTAGCCAATCAGAGCGCGCGAAAACACTATCCACTGTTTTAGTATATACTAATGCAGGATATTCACTGATTGAGTAGCCAGCAAGAGCGCGCGAAAAACACTATCCACTGTTTTAGAATTAAAAAGAATTGTGCAGATCTCGGAGGGTGTTGTTATCCAAACCCTCCTCGATCTGCTTATTCTAATTCTTCATATCCTACTCAGCTGGGGTACTAATTACAGTGATTGTTACCAATTCATCTCTCTTCGAACCTACCAACACTCTGTAATTTTTCTTTCTTCATTAATCCTGAAAAAGAATAGAAAAGCGAACTAATTATGTCAATGGCGCATATAAACGTTCACCTTTGAAAGCAAATAGATTTTTTTTATTTTCAGTTAAACCTTAGTTCGAATCACTTGCATTTCTCAAGCACCACTATAATAATATAACTATATCGTAGGAATGCACTTTAACCCCAACTACAAGATTTTTTTTTCCTTGTAGCTATGCCACTATTTGAAAATTCAGAATATCAAGTATCGTGTTAAGACGGAATCCATCAGGAAACAGAGCAAATTGAGTAATTTTGATTTTCAGTAGACAAAAACCCTGTACCAGAATAATCTAAGCGATATCGCATTCTTTTTTACACTTTTCAAGGGCTATAGATTGAATTAATAATTAAATAATTAGGTAAATTATCTGTAATAACATTAAACACAATTTCTTATGGAACACAGTTAAAATTTCATGCGAAATATTTCATTTTGTGAAATTTTAAGCTTTTGAAACTTGTTTTCTCGGTCTCCCAGAAGAAATTTCTGTGGTGTTATTACATATAACTAATTACACCTATAGCGCTTGAAAAGTGTAAAAAAAGAATGCAATATACTTTAAAATTATTCCGCTGGGACAGGCGTTTTATCCACTGAAAGTTAAATTACTCAATTTCCTAATGGATTCCGTCTTAAAGCTTAGATTGTGTGACTCAATTCCGACAATTCCAAGGAACATGTCTGGCAATTTGTTTGCACAACCTGATCAGTAGTGCTGTACGTATAATAATAGAGCGATTTTCGTATGACCTTGAAATGAAAACGCACGAACAAAACAGAAGCAACAAACGAACGGAAATAAAGCGATTTGATTGGTTTATCGAACGGATACAAAGGCACCTGGCTTTTGGTTGGTTAAGCGAAGGTTAAGCGAACGCTCGGCTGGAAAAACTTTATGCCCGAAGAACTTTCTAGAAATCGCTTTGACTTCATACTGCAACACGATTGGTGAATCGAACAGTGCCTTCTCCGTATTAGGGTTTTCTTTGGCGGGAAAACAAATAGTCCATGTTTTGTTCTTTTCATCCATTGGCTGATAAAACAAATAACAAACACTTACCGAAACCATTTTTTAAGGACATACGAAAATCGCTCTATCCCCTTAAACGTCCTAATCCTAACGTCTCACTAAAAGGGTAAAAATTACGGAGCTTAGTAACCATAAACTGAAGACGGCGGTAGTGAAACTACAGTCGAAGCTCTCCTTGCATCCACTCTCATAAGCGACCAGCTCTAGTTACGACCACCTTTGCGAAACCCCGTTTGAACTGGAAAGCTCTCATTAGCGAACTCTGCCGTAAGCGACCGCAACCACTTTTGGGATTATTCAACTGGACCTTTCCTTTGTTTTAAGATGTCTTAAGGGATTATTGATATAACTCAACACTTTAAGGAAACTGCAAACTACACTAATGGTTCGTTGATAAATATCTTGGGGTAATGTTAGTCTACGAATTTGACGTGAAGTTTAGCCGTGTCTATATAAAGACACTCATTAAACATCATTATTATTCATTCCAATTATTTCCCCTATTCTGATTGGCTAAAGGCACAAGTTTAATTCACCATTACCAGTTACTGATGACCAAATTTGGAAGAAATTTGACTTTAACGAGGAAATGACGTCAAAAATGCAGCGTTTTCGCAGGTTAAGGCACCGTTAACCGAGAAGGCCTGGGGACGAGGTTGAGTTGTTTTGGTTGTGAACTTGAAAAAATGGCGGAGATTTTACTCGTTTAAAGAGTAAGAACTAGGCGAAAAAATAGGTAAAAACATGGCAAGAACAGCAAGAAGGCAACTCGAAGGGCGACATCTGCTATTTGGAGGATATTTGCGGAGCTGGACAAACCTAAACGTACACTATCGAAGATGACCTGAACATCGATGGATCGATGGAGGCAAGCGTGTTTTAGCTATGTTTTTAAACTAGGAATTATTTTGAATGAATAATAAAACAGTTATTGAATTCGGCTTTCGTATCACATGAAGAATTATGGAGATCTCGGAGAGTGTGATCCGCCTCGGCCTACGGCCTCGACGGATAACACCCTCCTCGATCTCCATAATTCTTCATAAGATACTCAGCCTCATTCATTACTGTTAAATATAGTTTTCCTATCTTTTCTTTATGAATTATTAATGAGTGTCTGGAGCTCTCGTAAGCGACCGCTGTGGTAAAACAATAGAGGGTGGAGCTCATTCTCGTAAGCGACTGAAGACTAGTTACGACAACTGATTCGAATTTCCGAGGTGGTCGCTTACGAGAGCTTTGAGTGTACAATGGAACCTCGTTAATGCGACCACCGTTGGGCCATAAAATCCTGGTCGTAATACCAAGGCGGTCGCATTAACGGGGTCTTAATCATAATAAAATGACTCAGTGATTTTTACGTTTGGGTCGAAAAAATATGGTCGTAATAACGAGGTGGTCGTAAGACGGGGTTCCACTGTATAAAAATAAATTTGTGTTCTTCTCAACCATATCGCGTTTATTTGGCCTCAATAAATTTTTCAAATGAAGGCAAATTTTCTCGGACGTGTATTCTCAAGAACTCTATCTAAGCTTAAAAAGGGAAAGGAAGATTCGTCGTCGTGAGAGTCGCATTCACGTGGAAGTCGTGCTATGGCCGTTAATCATATGCAGTATTAAGAGTAAAGTACGAGCAGTGCTTTTTTTGCTCATATAATCAATCAATTAATCCGTTCGTTTTTTTCGATGTTTTCGTTTTTGTCGTTGTCGTGGTTGCTTAAATTCAGAAATATTTGGTCGGTGGATAGGTAGGTGAGCAGTTTGCGTAATCTTATACCTATCTGCGCAATGATGATTGCTGACTCACACCCCCTACACCCTCTTACCAGATTTGTTGACCAAATTTTTTAGTTTGCTGTATGGAGGCGGTTTCTGGCACAGTTTCGACTTCTTAATAAGAATAACCCGCTGTAGCTGATAAGCACGGAAATAATCCAGGATTTCACTAGAGTGTGCTCTTGTCGAGACAAAAGGCTTTGTAAGGCATTGATCCATTACCTATAGTCAATGAATAAGGAATTAAATGTTGAACAACATTATAAATATTTTGTTCCAATAGAAAAATATTAGGCCAGCCAAAACATCGTCGGCGTGGGGAAAAACAACTGGCCATTACAGTCGAACTTCACGTAAGGAAAAACGCAGAATGCGAAGACTGTTCACTTACGAGAAAAGAACCACTTCCGAGAAGATACCCGGACACATCTACTTTATGGAAGACAATTTGTTGCGTTCAATTTCTAAATTAAGATATGTGCACTTCCATGTTACTTAATATTAAGTTTTTCCGTGTATGTCAGAGGATTTTCGGGTAGTTCTTCAAGTCCCGAGAAAGGTGTTTGAAGAGTGTTCGGGGTGTTCCGGACCTATTTCTCATTTAGCGGGAGACTTCACCTTTATGCTAATTTTTAGTAGCTGACATGCAGCTGACGCGTTTTAAATGTTTTAAAAAAGAAAGATGAGAGATCAAATGCACAACAACAACAACAACAACAACAAAAAAGAAGGTAAAAAGAAGATTCAAACCTTGAAGGTGTCACAGATGACGGTCTCGAATGGCAAATTGCATTCTGTTTCATCAGTTTTAGCACCTTCGGAAATGCATTCAAGTATTCTGTCATAGGCTGCACGATGTTCAGCGTCAATAGGACAGACATAAGGGCAACATAGAGCGAGGATAACGATGGTGAAAACGATACATCGAGACGACATCGTAACTAGGACCTCGTCGTCACTTCTGCCTCTATTAACTGTTGAGATTAATCAAGAACCGGAAAGATTTCAGTTACAGTAACTTCATTAAGAGAACACTTGGTGAACTCTTGAGCAAGGCTACGGTCTGTCAAAGAGAAGTACTTTTTCGATTGCTTTTAATTTTTGTAACATTCTTAACAATTTTATGTTTTGGGAAATTGTCATTTTGATTGAACTTATTTCCTTAATAAACTGGCTTTGGGTTTTTACCCACAGTCCTTTACGTTCAATCTTGGTTTGTTATCTGCTTATCTATCCAGCCCAGCAAACAGAGCTCAGGCAAAGCAGTTATATCGGCCTTTAAACCCTCTAAGGAAGTTATAGGAAGAGCATAAATGAAATATTTGCTAGCAAATAGGATTTTTATGCTCCCTATCACTTCCTTCTTAATTTTGTGGTATCGTTATTGTGAAAAGGCAGAACTATTTTCCTTGTTATGAAATAGCAGCATTCACGTGGCAAGTGGCCAGCGGTATCCCATATTGACCACACGTACGCGCGATTCCGAGTGGATCAAGCACACTTGCCTCAAACTCGTGGACAAGTAAGCTGAAGCTTTTCCCCTCCCAACCCTGCCCAGTTGCCATGTTGTTTGCGTTTTTTGTGGCCCTCTCCTTTACTGGGCCAAAGTTTCAACAAATTTGTAACATTCCTAACAATTTTATGTTTTGGGAAATTGTCATTTTGATTGAACTTATTTCCTTAATAAACTGGCTTTGGGTTTTTACCCATAGTCCTTTACGTTCAATCTTGGTTTGTTATCTGCTTATCTATCCAGCCCAGCAAACAGAGCTCAGGCAAAGCAGTTATATCGGCCTTTAAACCCTCTAAGGAAGTTATAGGAAGAGCATAAAAGTACTTTTTCGATTGCTTTTAATTATTCTGAGGATGAAAGAATGTTTTCATTACCGGCAATGTCGCTTTGCTTCTTTAATATTTACATGTAGCCTGCACTTAATGTCCTTGTAGTTTAACTTTGTTTTTAAGGTTTTAGCTTTCCTCTCTATTTTATATACAGGGCGTGTTATCTTTACCAGTTTTAATTAAGGGTCGGAACCCTTCCAAAAAATGCAAAATGAACTAAGCAAAACTGTATAAACAACAAAAAAATTAATATAATTTCAGAGCATGGTCAAAGCCGGATGTGTAAGGAGAACCTTGTCTTTCCAATGTTTGGTATAAAAAATAGAAATAAGTAATGGCGCTTTCTATCTTTGTAAACGTAGACTTCGACAATAAGACTTTAAACCTTTAATTAAACGAGATCAAAGCAAACCAGTTGGTATTCAAGGAAATAGTTTGATGAATACCTCATCAATGCCAATGTCTAGCTCTATATTTTTATTTTTTTCTAATCGCAGTATTCCCTGACCAGGCAGTAAAGCAGCGCTTAGAGTGTCGGTGCTGTGCAAATGCGAAGTGTGAGCCGAACTTGTATGTATGTATGTAAATCTTTATTAAACACGGGAAATCATCAGTTAAGCTTAAGTTAAAAACTAAAACTAATTACAACTGCTTTACATGATTGCCGTGTGGGAATCCGATATATCAGCTACCTTCTTGATATTTCGCTTAAAATGCTCAACGGATACAGCCAATAACTGCGAAATTCGCGAATTTTGGCCAACAAATTGCAAAACTTCATTTAAGATGAAAAAGCGACGAAATTTTGGCGCATCTATGGTTCTGGTGTCTAAGTGAAGAATCGAAACTAAAGGTCGTGGTATAAGACGAAATTTCAGTTTTGGTTAGACGAAATTTCGCTTCATTGACTAGAAGAGTAAGATGAGGCACCTCTTTGCAAAAGTAAGTGCGATCTTTAATATACATCGTGGTTTTAGAACCATACAATGAAAGATTAACCATGTCCTTGGCGAAAATTCTTCTTTTAATTTTTTACGATTTTTTCTGAGCACATACGGAGCGTGCATCTCATTAATACCGCAGGGCGCAGTGTGTTACGATCCGTACGTTTGACTGATACGGATCGTAAATATAAGCCATATAAGCCGTAAAGCGAAGCAAGAACGCCCCAACAATAAATATTCCTCGTTCTATAAGCATAAATCAAACCAGGCGCGCTATAAAGCTTCCTTGTTCTATAAACCATCTACCAAAGAAAGCGCGCTTCAAATGTAACACCCAATGATCATGTTCAAGGACTTGTTTGCATAGGAATAACACGATGTGAAACTGGAAAGGAGGAAGGTTTGTAACAAAACAAGGGTTGTTTACCAATACAAAAAATCTATGGAAAATCCGTTTTGGAAGTAAATCCTGTATCTAGTCTTCAATCCAGTATACTTTTTTCATATGTAATATAATTATTCTTCATTGATGCGAGACAAATTTTTCTTTCCTTTCTATGCCGTTTTAAAGTTCTAGTATGTAATGTATGCATGAAAAGAAAAGAACAAAACACAAATCAAACAATTATACAATTAACTCCCAGAAAACAAAGTACCAGAAAATACCGTATTCGCAGGTGAGGAACAGGTGGTTGGATTGTCAAGAACTTCAAAGATGGCCGTCTATGTTCAAGGCTTTATATTGTAAACAATTTTTTGTAAGACTACCCTTTTTATCTTTTCTTAGCTTGTCGCTAACAAGGACCAACTAACCGCTAACCTGAATCTGATAAAGGCTGCCACTACCACTACATCTCGAGTGAAGTTAGCCAAAGAACAATACAAAAGAGCTCATTACAGTCATTATAGATTTATTATTTCAAAATCGAAAAGGAACAAAATTTTAGGCCTGAAATTTTAAGTTACTTGTTCTGAGGAGAAATCCAATTTATCAATCCTTAGTAGCTAAAACCTTTACAGATGAAATGATCGGAACATATATATAAAAATAAGAGTTTTGTTTCCACAATGCTCGAAAGATAAAATGCTTCTGATTTTAATTAAAGTTTTAAATCGTTGCCTACCTCGTAAAGATTCACCATTGAGCACAACAGAAGATACATTTTCTCAAACGAACAAATGCAACGAGTATCACACCTCGGTCGGCATACCTGCGGTATTAAAGGCAAAAACTCTTGCAGATGAACATGGATTTAAACAATCGCTTAAGAACAGCTCTTTGCATGATTACAAGTGTCCTCTCTTTGATTGTCAACCAGTTTACGGAAGGAGAAATAGGGAAGATCATAAGATCCTTACCGTGAAACAAATATCCCGGCCCGGATAAAGTCACAGCCAGGGTATTGAAAGACAGCTAACTATAACACTCGCTGCAACAACGAACATTGTAAAAACCTAGTTCTCTTTAAACGCATTTGCGCAAGTCTGGAAAGTGGCTGAAGTCATCTCTATCTTTAAATCAAGTGACCCTGACGAACCTTCCAATTCCCCGCACGATATCCCTCCTCCCCATGATGTCCAAGGTTTGTGAAAGGGCAGCACACTCACAGTTTGTTAACTTTCTAGACCAAAATGAAAAAAATTCAAAACTGCAAAGTGGTAATAGGAGATTACTGCCAAAAATTCAGATGAAATCCTTAAGAACATGGACGAGAAAAAGATATCCGTGATCGTCCTTTTAGACATGTCTAAGTTGTTCAGTGACATACGTCACGATCTGATGGAGTCAAAACCTTCATAGTATAGGTGTGTCCAACGCTGCGTGTGACTGGTTTGGAAGCTACCTTTCACAACGAAACCACGTTGCTGACGTGGCTAACTCAGTCTCTGAACCCCTCCCCTTGACTGTGGACGCAGTGCAATGCTCAGTTCTCCGACCAGTTCTATTTAGACTGTGTGTAAATTATCTTCTATCGGTCCCTACTTTCCTGCCACGCAATGGGCTATGTGGACGACACTAAAATTTTCCTCGGCCTTCCCTCGAATATTAATGCATAATAAAGATCTTTCGGCAATAGGAAGATGTACGTTGTTGTACAAACTCTCTTCCACAAGTCAACAACCCCGATAAGACTAAGCTCCTGGTTATCGGAGTTCAGCAGACTACGAGAAGCCTACCATCTTTTCCTCCGGTTAAATTACTGGGTAAAGAAATTAAACCTGCCATTTTAGCGGTTAGATGTCCCAGAATTAAACAGGGTAGTTTGTGAGCATTTCGAAGTTGGTGTGCCAGTTGTCGTAGGAAATGAGAAAAACTGTACTAATTTGTTCAATAGCACTGAAATCAGCGATGCACAGTAGCTAGTTCATTGAAATTTATCTCTGATCAGTAAAGGACGGACTAAAAGACTCTCCTATGTCTGCCGTAGTAACGCATATCTATGCATAGTTTTAAAAGTATTACTCTCTTTGAACATTACCTACTCGTAGTCAAGTTCATCAAAATTTGGCGCAGATCTTGAGTTGAGCTCTTTTTCTAGGCTTAAAAAGTAGCTGACATTTCACGACGCCACCACTGATTTTCCAGCGAAATAACGCCTGAGGAACCAGCGCAGAAATTCCATATTGATTGCGCGTCACTTCCCAGATCTGGGCGGTGATTCTGATTGGATGAACCATATTTTCAGCCAATCAGAAGCGTCATCACTATGGAATTTTTGTGCTCGTTCCTCAGACGAGACGTCGTGGTCAAACCAGTGGTGGCGTCTNCCTGAATCTGATAAAGGCTGCCACTACCACTACATCTCGAGTGAAGTTAGCCAAAGAACAATACAAAAGAGCTCATTACAGTCATTATAGATTTATTATTTCAAAATCGAAAAGGAACAAAATTTTAGGCCTGAAATTTTAAGTTACTTGTTCTGAGGAGAAATCCAATTTATCAATCCTTAGTAGCTAAAACCTTTACAGATGAAATGATCGGAACATATATATAAAAATAAGAGTTTTGTTTCCACAATGCTCGAAAGATAAAATGCTTCTGATTTTAATTAAAGTTTTAAATCGTTGCCTACCTCGTAAAGATTCACCATTGAGCACAACAGAAGATACATTTTCTCAAACGAACAAATGCAACGAGTATCACACCTC